TGTTTGCAGAGGTAAAATGGTTTTAAGATGTCAGAGAATTATGTATCTGAAGCAACAGGTTAATTGATGCCTAGAGCTTCAATATAATATCAAGTCATGGTTTGGAGGCTCCAGGAATGGAATATAGATTTGATAGTATTCTCCTTCCCTTTTTTCCTACACTCAGATTGAATTGCTTACTTTTTATCCAAGACAAACCATGTCCATCAGAGACAAAACGCGGCTTGCAATTTTATTTTATTTTTATATATATTTTATTTTAGGCGACATGCAGAAGCCACAGTTTTCTATGTTGATATATCAGCAAATTATGGTTTCCTTTCAGTGGGAATTGACTGACTCTGAGCACACATGGGATGCGAAGTTGTTTCTTTTTAATGGTTGACTTCACACTGTAGAATTAGGACCTCATCACAATAGAGAATGGATCCACTTTAAATCCGGTTGCTGCCTCCTGCAGAATTCTGGGGTTTGTAATTTAGGAAGGAACCTTTAACAGCATCATTAAACTACAAACCCCAGAATTCTGCAGGAGACAGAAACCAGATTTAAAGTGGATTCATTCTCTAGTGTGATGAGGTAGTTAATGCAGTTGGACACCACTTCAGCTGCCGGGGCTCAATGCTATGGAATCTGGGGAGTTATCATTTGGTCAGGTACAAGCACTCCATGGAAGAGAATGCTACAGACTGTGTAGAATTACAATTCTCACGATTCCATAACTGAACCATGACAGTCAAAGTGATGTCAAACTGCAAGAATTCTATGGTTTAGAGCAGGGGTCCCCAAACTAAAACCCGTGGGCCAGATGTAACCCTCTAAGGTCACTTACCCAGCTCCTGACCTAAACTTTAGACCTAGGTCTTTCTAAGTCTGAAATGATTGTAGAAATAAATAAATAATACCCAGAAAATATTCCCCGGGGGTATAAATCAAAGTATAACTCATTATAAAAGGCTTTGTTACGATTAATTATTTGAATGCACTTTTAATATGCAAAGTGCTGCATTATCTGTATCTTCCTCAACCATCATAAATCAAGGTATTTTTACAGATAGGAAACTAAAGGTGAGAAAAAGAAATAAAATTTAATCAGGAAAGGGATGGAGAAACAGCACAAATCAACAGGTTAATAATCAACCTTTTAAACTAACAACAAAAAAGGCAATTATTTTTTCTCATCAGAGCCTGATGCACAGCACTAACAGAGCAGATTATGTTGTGAAAACAGACCACATTGCGTGGCAATGCTTGATCAAGATCGTCTATCAGGGTGGGAAAAGAAACCACTGTTTCATGATTATAATAGCAAATTCTGGAAGACAACCAAATGCATCATCTGGCGGCTCAACAGCTGTTACAGTATGGTAGTAATACCTTTGCATTTGCTGGAAGCTATAACGTAGGGGGGGGAATTATTTCTCAGCCGCCAGAAACAAAAAAACGATCTTCTTTGAACATTCCTGAAATTTCTTTCAATAGAAACAGCTCATTCTTTTGCTCAGCATGGGCTGCTAAGCTGATTTTATGCTAATTTATTCTGAACCAAAAATAAATTGAGGGGAAAATATTGGAAGCAATTTAAACAAACTACATATGTTTAGCCAAAATCTACAAACAAGGTCAGGGGTGTATTTGGGTGTCCCAATGTAAATATATTATATATGCCTGTCCTGTTATTATTCATTGCTTTCACTTGTTAAATAAATCATAATTGCAACTTCCTTATTCTTTCAAAACACGAGGTTTCAGAATAATTTTAAGTCCAGCAGCCTCCTTGCTGGGTCAATTGATAGAAAAGGCAATGATTTTCCATGCTGGAGGCAAGGATGAAAATGGTAGCCTGGATCCACGTTATATGTATTAATAAGAAAACACTAATTCTTAATAGTTTAGGATCATATCAAATTAGACCACCGATTGAATAGTTCCCAACAGCAGAACATTGTCAGGGGCTGTTCCTCCTGCACCTCCCTTCCTTTTGTTCTCAAATTTGGATTGTCCATATTGCTGGATCCTCTAGATTAGATGGTAGGAGGCTGCAGTGGGAAGGAAAAGAGGGGAAACCTAGTCAAGCAAGTTTAAATCTATGCTCTCTCTATCTTCAGTTACTACTTTTCTTGATTCTGATATTCCAGTGTCAGAACCTGAGACCTAGGGAAGACCCCTTGTGATAGCGAAATGAGTTGCCCCTTATGGTGCATATAACCCAGATCCATTAAGCACCAACCACAGTTGCACAGGTACATTCAAATAGAAAACGTTAAGTCTAACAATTGATATCTCACTCTTGTTTTCTCTTGATAAATACAGGACCATCTGAGTGATTGTATTATATTATATTATATTATATTATATTATTATATTATATTATATTATATTATATTATATTATATTATATTATATTAATTATATTATATTATATTATATTATATTATATTATATTATATTATATTATATTATATTATTATATTATATTATATTATATTTACAGTATTTATATACTTTCTCACCCCTGGGGGGACTCAATTATATTAATTCCATAATAAAAACATTTCTGACTATACTATTTCCAACTCTATACTCCCCTGATTAGCAAGCCGCATTGAGTCGCCGCCTCAGGCTGATATATGCGGTATACAAATAGAGTAAATAAATAAGCCTTGCAAATGCTGATTAGTAAAGGTAAAGGTTTCCCCTTGACATTAAGTCTAGTTGAGTCTGACTCTGGGGGATTGTCCTCATCTCCATTTCTAAACAAAAGAGCCAGCGTTGTCTGTAGACACGTCCTAGGTCATGTGGCCAGCATGACTGCATGGCGCGCCGTTACCTTCCTGTCAAAGCGGTACCTATTGATCTACTCACATTTATATGTTTTCGAACTGGTAGGTTGGCAGAAGCTGGGCCTAACAGCAGGAGCTCAGCCCGCTCCCTGGATTCGAACCACCAACCTTTCAGTCAGCAAGTTCAGCAGCTCAGTGGTTTAACTCGCTGCACCACCAGGGCTCCATAAATGTTGATTAGTTGTCAGTAAATGTTTGATTTTTGTGCCTATATAGTTGGGGCCAGATAATAATTTCTCAGGAAATAAGGGGTCGTAAGTAGAAAAGTCTATTGAGCCCTGTCCTAGTTAACAAAGTTTTTGAGACAGATGCTACTTTTTTCAAAGTATTTGAATGCCTCTCCAGACATCTTTTTCATCCTTGGGCTCATCTACACAAGACTCAAAATCTGAGGCAAGTATAGATAGTGCTGCTTCGGACAAGTTCCAAATGTCAAGGAATTCTGTTCCATGCTTTGTTTCTGAACTGCAGGAGTAGTAGGAGTGGAGTTCAGACCATCCAGTTGAGCCAAACTGCTGGAGAATAACCCTTATCTGGGCCATTTTTTTGCCGCTGTAGCAGCAAAACAAGGAACTGCAGAAAGCTCCTGGACATCAGCAAGCATCTCTGTTGACATTACTAAAGGCGACTATATGACATGGAGAAAGGAGGAGCTGATCTCCAGACTTTTCACAGCCAGCTGTTGTGGTGACAAACGTCAACCCAGGTGAATTCTAACCTCATTCCCCCGCACCACAGATTGCAGGTAAAAGGGGATGGTGAACAGTGAAACAGTCCAACTGTCCATGCCAATCAGTGCTAATACAGAATTTTTGGCCAGTGTAGACCAGCTCTTTGTTCTCCGTCTAGCTAGATTTCTTTAAAACTGTATGGAAGGACAGGGAAGAGGAGAAACACAAACTTTTGGACATTGCTAGTAAACAATGCAATAAAGTTTGAGTGGGGAAATGGCACGATTCTACTTTAGCTGATCCAATTGTAACTATGTATGCCTGTTTCCAAGAGACAAGGAAAATAATAACTGCCTTTGAAATTACTAACTGAGCATAGATGGACAGAGAAATGGAAAGAGTGTGGTTAGGCTGGAGAAAGTTATTAATGAGGAAAACCCTATAAACTAAGGATGCAGAAGTTTGGTGTTGCCTGAGTCTTCTGAAAAGGGCAAAATTCCACCACTTCCTCTCAAATTGACTGAATGAAAACTACTTTGCATGTTAAACTCAGGCCCCCTTCTACACAGCTGCATAAAATCCAGATTATCTGCTTTGAATTGGATAATCTGGCAGTGTAGACTCAGATAACCCACTTCAAAGCAGATAATGTGGATTATCTGCCTTGATATTCTGGAATATATGGCAGTGTAGAAGGGCTCCTACACTGCCATATAAAATCCAGATTATCTGTTTTCAACAGGATTATATGGCATATAACCCTGTTCAAAGCAGATAATGTGGATTGTCTGATTTGATGATCTGAATTGCATGGCAGTGCAGAAGGACTCCTACACTGCCATATAAATCCAGATTATTTGTTTTGAACTGGATTATATGGCAGTGTAGACTCATATAATCCAGTTCAAAGTAGATTATCTGATTTGATACCTGGATTATATGACAGTGCAGAAGGGGTCTTAGATGCTCTTTGCCAAACTGAGTCACTTGACAAGTATGCAATACATAAAAACCAGTAAGGCAGCAATTATGTAGGCAGTTACTTAAATTCATTTGGCGTCGGTCTGAATAAACATGATAGGATTGTGCCCATGGGTGGTAGTTACTTTAAAACTGAGCAATGTCAGTGGCTTGTTGGCAGCCTTAAAACACGTTTGCTTTTTGTGAAGCAACCAAATGATCAAAAACCTTTAGTTGCCCTATTCTATACATATTAACTCATAAATTACTTTCACAGAGTTTAACATGAATGATTCCTAAGCAAAGCTATAAGAGAGTGGAGTCTCTTAACTCTCATAATGATACTTGGGCTGTGGGAGAAACTGAAAGAAATACAGCATGAATATTTTAAATTCTAGCATTCCACTTAGGGTTTGGAAGTGTCATAAACAATATCTCACAGAGATCAATATTCACACAGGATATCTATGGGGAAAAGAAACTCAAAGCCTACAGGAAGTTGGTGTAAGCTATCATCTAGATATACCTTTATGCCTGGTGCGGTTTTCTTGGCCTCTGCTTTTAATCGCGTTGCTTTTAACATTGGCCTGGTTTTCTTGTAATCTTGTTTTCCTATTAAAGGAAGGAGAAACAGTTGCTGAAACCACTCCACAATAAGGAGGAACAATTATCTTAATGTCTGCACCATATCCAAATTTTCCCTTACAAAGCACAAAACACAACTGCATCCTTTTAATGGTCACAAAGAGGAAGTGTACACATTACAGCTTTTTTGTGTGAAGTTACAAACTTTGAAACATTTGTTCTAATAGGGAATGCATAACAGTATAATTTGCGTAATTTATTATTTTGGGCTTCGGGAAGTTATAGTACTTGCAAATGTTACAAAAGTTAGTCTAAAACAGCAAACCATACAGTATACCAATCTTACCAGCCTAAAAGAAATTTTTATGATGAAGCTGAACATATTTGAGAAAACATATAAAGACAGTATTTGCATGTGTTAGGAATATTAGTCGTAAGATCAAACCACTTTCTAGAGACAATCCTGGGGTTGTAACCATTTTGCTTGTCTATCATGAGGTTATTAGACGCAAACTCAATTTTAGGAAACGAAAATGGACTTCCTACCTGGTAATAATAGGCTCTAGCCAGGTTGAAATTGTTTTTAACAGTATCCATTTTCATGCCTCTTATCACAAGACTGCATTATGGTGACATGCCAGCCTGCCTATCAGTGTTAGATTAGCTGAAAAGCTATACTTTATAACCTTGACTTTAAGGCTGTGATCTTAAGCAAATGTGTTTAGGACTGGTGTTATGCCATGTGTTTGTCAGGTTCAGGTTTGATCAAAAAGTTGTCAGTTTAAGTAAGAACAGAGAAATTCCTATGGAGAAAAAAAATGCTTTCCATGCATCTAAAAAAATTAAAATAAAATGCAGCCTATTTGTGTTAGAATCTCTGATCTGTATGGCTGCAGTGATATTATAAAGAGGGCCTTTAATTTCTATGATCAGCGCCGCAGAACATTTTGTAAAAATTGTGATGCCACACATACACAGGCAGTCCCCAAGTTACAAACTATAGGTTTCAGGAGGTTTGTTCTTAAGGTGAATTTGTATGTAAGTCAGAACAGGAACTTTTAATGGCCTTTTAATGGCCACACAAAAAAGAAGTGTATTAATTTCAGCTGTTAACTATGAGTTGTTTGTATTGTTGAAGGCTTGTTGTAAGTTTTTTGGGCTGTGAACTCACAACCTCTGAGGATAACTGCCATAGATGCAGGTGAAACGTCAGAAGAGAATGCTTCTGGAACATGGCCATAAAGCCCAAAAAACTTACAACAACCTATGAGTCATTTGTAAGCTGATGTTTGTAGCTCAGAGGCTGCTGCTAGATTATTAGATATGGCTGCATGATTACTTCTTTAAGGACAAATAAAACAATCCCATCGCTCCTATTCAGAATAAATAAAGGACAGTAATCCCATTCAGCAGACTTCTAGGCTCCTTTTATTTCTCTTCCCACACTCTGTACTGGTAGTCTAATTGCCTTCCAGCTATTCATTTCAACAGTTTCACCCCAATCCAATTCTAGCTGTACTTTGGGTTGAACATGGACAGATCTTTAGATTCTACTCCTGATACTGCATTATCGTCAAGGCACAAGAATATCTCAGCTATAGTGCCTTGGCTGGATGAACCTTTGGATTCCCAACTACTATCAATGGGTGGACATACTCTGACCCATAACCCAGGGGCTATCTACCATATCCAGTACTGGATAGGCTCTGGGTATGGTAGATAGGGAATCCTACAGCTACTGATGAGGTGGGAGGGAGTCCCCACCTCCCAACAGCACCAAAAGAACAATTAGTTGCTGCTGAGCGGCCACCCTATGTCCACCCTGCTCTCTATGCTGTGACAGCCTCCAGCCACAACATAGATCCTATCTGCCTGCCCTCACGTGCCATGTCAGCTGGCAAGATGATTGCCAGGGGAGGGGGAATGGAGGAGACCTCCCTTCTCTCCTCCTTTTCTTGTACACCCTGCTACCCTAGTTGATGTCATAGTATGGAATGGTAGACAGATAGGGCCCGTGCTGCACCCATAGATGACTGATATAATGCGAGAGATTTGCAGGGAAGTGATTGTACAAAAAAGAAGTGAGGATAGTTGCAGATACTGACAGTTCCATTTCCGATCCAGCCCAACTATTCCTATAGGCCTTAAGTCTGTGGCAGAATTCAGTCTTTCCCCTACATTTGGATAACTGAACATCAAGGGAGAGTGGGGTCACTGTCAAGGTTATACCTGAGGCTGATCCAGATTAGCCCCAGGTTATGGGTCAGTGTAGATCTGCCTACTGACAGCAGTTGTACATCCAAGGAGTGGACATTCCACAACTGGGACACTATAGCTGAGAAAATCATGTGAAAATCTTTTTGAAAGGTATTCCTACTCCTGTTTTTTTTTAATTACCATAGATATGTTTTTCTAAGATAATACAAACCAGAATATCTGGAAAGCTTCTACTCTGCACTAGAGTCTTACAGAGCAAATCTTGTCTTACAGTGAGGAGTTTGCAATGAGAAACCATGAAGGTGAAAAAGCCACCTTCACATTGGTTCACACTGGCAGCATGGAAGATAGTATTGAGAGAGGTTTCCTGCCTTTCTTTCTTTTCTATTTTAGTCTTTTACTATTGCAACCCATAAGAGGGAAACTATGTATGGCAATCCTAAAACTGATGCACCTTCTATTAGTGTTGGAAGCATACATGGGGACTTCTAATCCAAACAGAATATATACCCTGATGTACCCAGTATTTGTTTTATTGGTTCTGGGAACTCCAGAACTAAAGAGGCGAAGGTCTCTGGGGTATCCTCCACTGAGATAGTGGAGGAACATCCAAGATTGAATCTCTCCTTACAAGGTAAAGCCTCTTTTCCACCATTGGAGAAGAAGATCTGATCAATCCTGGGATGTCTTCCAAGACCACAGTGTTGCAAAATGAAGGTGAAACATATGGGAAAATCAGTTCTTTTCTTAGAAAATATTCAAAGATGGTCACAGTGGAATACGGGAAAGACAGCCTACATGGATTGCTCCCTACTAGTCATTATATGTGCTATGTGATGGTAAAGGACCTGTCAGAATTTCCATTATGAATTGACCAAGTTTATGAGCTCATAAAAGTTCACTCCAGGGTAAAACTTGGCTCTAAATATATATATGAACTTGTAATACTTTCTGGAGCCAATCTGAACTAAAGACACACAGCTGCTAAAAACTTGTACTACAGAACAACTCTAGACATTTATTCACAAAGGTTCTGGACACAGATTAGGAACATTTTAAGAAAAGGATAAACAGAAGTATTTGCTCACTTCAAGATTTAAGAAAATTAGAAGTATTTTCTTTTTTGTCCATAGCAATAAAATAGGACAAGCAAGATATGAATCATGACCCAAAGATATGAGGTTTTTGAAGTGCAAGCTTGTTATATCTACCTTAAATGTGTAGGAAATACAGGTTGCAATGTGGAAGACTAAGCAAAGATTTACCTGGAGTTTTGCAGCATGAGGAATGCCAAAGAATTTTCATGGCATAAAATATGTAATTTGCTGACCCTTTATATTATATTCCAAGCTGTTTTGAGTCTCATTTTTTGAAAAAAGGAAGAGGGGGTAGTGACTCAAAAACTATGGTGGTGAAAAGCAGAGGACATAAAAGTGTTAGATTTCTGAAAGATTTATCATTTGCTCACAATTTAGTTTATATTGAAGGATGTTGAGAAAAGCAATAGCTACCAAATAAACAAAAAAACCACTATTACAACTATTGTGTGTGTATGTATATGTGTGTGTCTACGCGCACACACACACACACACGCATATATAAACCTTATTTTTTGCTATGCAACTAGATTTAGTTTTATTATGCTTTCATTAAATAAATTTTTCCATTCATTTCACTGCAAACAAAAACTCCATGTGGCTTAGCCAGCTACAATATGCACTGGATGGCAAGGGTTAATTTCTGGAAGGGGTCAAGTAGGGCTGAGCAATATTTCCCTCTGACCTTTCTTTCAGACTATGTTTTTCAACAAAAGACAGGGAGGGGGGCATAAACTTGGGAACATTCTTTGGAGAGTGGGAGAGAATGTCTAGACTTTCAGATCAGTGAAAGTCTGATCTGAAATACGTAAGTTATATCCCTCCACAATTTCCTAATGTTTAATAGCTCCACCATGGCTTAGCTAAGCACTCAGTAGCATTATGCAAAGATGGGAATACAGGGATCCATTATATCATTGGTTCATCTTGTTTAATATTGTCAGCTCTAGCAGTAGCAATCTAGGTATTCTTTCTTAAGGCCCTTTCATACTGTACAATTATAGCACTGTGATTCCACTTGCCATGACATCCTATGTAATCTAGGAATAAGTAATTTGTTTAGGAGCAATAGCTTTCTGAGTGAGAACTCTAAATATTCTTTCCTCAAATACAAAATTCAGGATTCCATAGGAAGTTGCCATGGCAGTTAGTAGAATCATGGTGTTATAACTGCATAGTGGGAAAGGGTTCTCTGTCCGACCTGAAGATCTCTGATATTCAAGTACTAGCCAAGCCTGATCCTGATTAGCTTCCAAAATCATATGAGAGTGGGGTGTTTGCAATAGTGTATAGCCTCTTCCTTTCTTTGGAAATGAAAATGGAAACAGCCTGAAGACATCTGAAAGCAGACTTTTTTTGTATATTGTAACGATGCAACATCTATGAAACATCTTCTCAAGAACATTTAGAGGCCCATTTCCAAATGATCTGAAAAAATGTGCTGCTTGTGATGGCTCAGTCAAAATGCAGTTGTGACTTAGAAAGTGTGACCAGAAATCTCTCAAATCACCTTGCTATTTATAATTGTCATCATTATTGAGGTCTTCAATGAAATCTTCAACACACCCTCTTGAAGGTCCATCTCTTCTTTCTGATCTTTAGGCAAGATTTCATCTTTCCCTTTCCCTTCAATATATACTGAACGAACACAGGTTTGGTGTGGGAGAGGAACATTTTAATTAACTATAGAGACAAAAAAATCCTTTTGCACTA